ACCTTAGAGCAGATAACAACATGTTTTTATTATTAATGTTTGCTGAGGCAGGGCATTAAAAAGTATCATCATTAGTTCCTGCACTGGAAATTAAATCACATATTTAAATAATTAATACATTTTTTTTATTGGCTGTTTTGTTCTGTAGCTCAAGTTCAAGTCAATATCTTAACAACCTCAAAAAACACTTTTCAGAATTTAATTGTACATTGGTTTTTGTTCTGATTGTGTATATATTGTAAAGTGTATGTGTGTGTGTGAAAAGGTAAAGTTAAGTCATCCAGATAATTTATGACTTAGAAGTGATTCTGTAGCAGCAGTGCTGGAGTTTGTTTGCTTCATAGATTTATTGGTTCCTAGATCTGTATTGATTATTCCCTGGGTTTCACTCACTGACTCTGATCTGGAGGGACATATGGACTGTGTGTGCATTTAGTGTTTTTGTTTCTTGGCTAACATTTTGATTTTTATTTTTTTTTTGCATGAATATCAGTGTTTGTGCTCAAAGAAATCAGCACACACAAATGACTGAAGTAAAGGAATATGTGTTGGTATTAAGATTATGGGTTTTTTATAAATAAAAAATGGTCCAGTCATTCAAATATTTGGACAAAGTTTAAGTTCATTTTATGCGTGAACAGGATAGCAGACAGTTTGACTGTGTTTTAGTGCCATATATTGTCAAGTGTAAAATGTTGTTTTGTCACATGCACCCTTAGGTGGAATACATACTAAGAACTGAGTGTCTTGCAGTGACATACTTTGCAAATACAAATACAAGAAAAGTTTTGTTTCCAATTAAAAGTCTTGGTATAGGTGTTGTGTTTGGTGGAGCGCAGACAAAACTGCACCACATCCATGTTTCCATGACAATAATAAAAATAGTCTCATTAACTCCACTGCTAAGTCTATGCTGGAGGTTTGTTTAACTCTTAACAACTGAGCCCAGCATTCCTGAGCTTCCTCTCTCCATATAAGGTCTCTCAGACCAGTGATCCTCACCCACTGTCCCACCTCACCATATACAGTACAGTACAGGGAACAAACTCAGCCACAGTTGAGTTGTCTCCAACTCCAGCTTAGCATCGTACAGTGTCAGAAAACATTTTTGTCAGCAGCACAGTGGACGACTTTTGACAATTCAGAAACAACTTAATGTGACTCAAAGCAGCCTGAGGAAAAAGGAACAACAAACTCCACTCCTGAAAAGTTGGAACCCATGAAACTCAAATCAATCCTTCGGAAACTCAGTTGAATTTTTAACAGCCATAAGGGCAATTAATTATTTTTGTTTGTTTTAGTTTTCTGGCAACACTTTCTGGACAATAACTGATGCACTACCAGCCATAAATCAAATCCAGTCTTAACCAGTTCTGTTGATAATGGGACCTGAACAACCTTTTTTTAATGTATTTTTTATTCTATTTTTTTTCCCTATCATCATTATTTTCTATTCAATTTAAATCAAATTTATGCAGAACAGAAATAATTGAGGTTCATTAAAAGCCATTTCCTTTTGACTGTTTATATGAATAAAATCACAAGAGCACAATCAAATGTTAGATTTTAGTGTTAACTGCTGTATAGACTTGTAAATACATCTGCTTAAAAGCCACTAAAATGGGGGGAGGGGTAATGTATTATCATTCAATATTACATTTAAATAATATAAACAAGACATAGTAGAGCAAGTAAATACAACTTGCTGACAGTGGGAGTGGGAAAAACAGTACACTCACTTTACTGGGAAACCGTCTCCAGCAGATGCAGACTCAGAGTGTGTCGCTGTTGTCTTTGGTCACAGCAGCTGGGAAAATGACAACTGGGGGAGAGAGGAGGGGTGACAGAAAATGGACAGAGTGGAGAAGAGATGGAGACAAAGAGAAACCAGGGACAAATATGAATCACTTCTGACTAAAATGCAAAATGTCAGTAGTTAAAAAAAAAGTTTGACCTTAGTGTCATTTGTGACGTAGATTATAAATAATGGCAGTGAAGTCCTGGAGTTCTGAGGGGCAGGAACCCTGAGAGCAAAAGTCAGAAAGAAGAGAGAAACACAAAAAGAGATTATGAATAGAAAATAAATAAATACAAATTCTTTAAAAATCACTGTATCTGTTCAGTTTCTTTCTTTTTTTGTGTACCACAACCTGCAGAAGCTGTGAAATAAACAATACTGCCCCATACTGGAACATTAGAAGAATTACAGATACATAGTAATATGATAGAAGTATTTGGAAAATACTTTTTTTTTAAGCCAGCAGAAAGCCACACTGCTCAGCTCTGTCCACTGATCTTTTTTTAATTTGCAGAAAGCATTTCTCAGGCTCTGAGTTTGTCCTCTCACTGCAGGCCAGGACATTACTAAATAAGGACAAACCGTCTTTCTCCCCCCTCTGCCTTTTTACCATTTACTCCCATAGTAAATTCTTATTATAGCTTATTTTCCAGGCCATACCTCATATTGTGTACATTAGAGTCATGACACTTGATAAGCACTGAAACACTGACGCACACACCGGTGGAAACACATATAAAAGCAGATCAGACGTGTGCTTGTTAATGGATAAATCTTTATCATGTCTTTCAGGTAAGAATGTGTTTTGATTAGAGCTTCTAGACCAGTGCGTTACTTAGTCCTTACACATCATGAAAATACAGATTATTCACAGAAAAGCAAACTCCACAGGAAGCTGCAGGTATTTTTTTTTTTGTTTTTTTTTTTAGTAAAATTTATGTCATACTGTGTTCACACAGCCTGGATTTATTATCACACCAACCAGGTGACTAAGGATTTCACACACACAGGTGTGAAGTGATCACTGACAGTTTGCCTAATGATCAGGAGGAAACTTCTTTTACATTCAAATATATTTACACAAAGTTCTAAACCTTATATGGGACTTTTGTCACAGGCAAAAAAAAATAAAAAAAATTAATTGAGTTCCCGTTCACTGACCCTGAGATACAAATGTTGGAATAATCCTGTGTTAGACCATAAATCCCAAATAATTTCATCAAACTTTTTTAAAAGTGACAGAAGCAGAGATACTCGTGAGGCAGACAAGTTCAAACTTCTGATTACCATGATGCTTAGAAGTCAAACGGTTCTGACCGATTTCATAATTAAATTCATGAGAGCAGAATAAATATCCATAAGAGAAAAATACATTTTGGCAAAAGGTTTCCTCAGAGTCAGCTTTAAACCCATTGGATTTTGTGCCTTCTTGACATTTTAACTGTTACTTCTTTAATTCATTACGGGACAAACCCTAACTTTCTGGATGATTCTTAGACACAGGGAGTGATTTTGCAAACATTTAAACAAAACACAGCAAAACAAAAAGACAAACAGAAACAACCAAAAATCATGTGGAAAAAAGTTAGAGACCTTTTTTTGAGCATTTAACATTCATATTACATTTTAAAGCTTTTCCCACTTCCTTCCGTCTCCCACATATTTTAATTCCGTCGGCTATGTTCCAACCTGTTGCCACAAACGTTCCCTTTTAGATTTGGCAGCTGTAGATACACACAGTAGAAAGGTCTTTCAAACTCAGGTGAGATATCTGAGATGGAGAAGAAAGGCCTGCGTTCAAAGCTGATTCTATAACCTCAGCTCTGCACTCGTGGTTCTTTTAGACCTCGTCTCCTCCGGCAGCGCCACCTGTCCGTCAAAGCTTTAAACACAGGATTTGGAGGGAGGTGTGCGTCCTTCCCAGTACTTCTGGTACGACGACCAGAACATGTCCTTACAGTTAATCTTTGCGTTCAGCCGTGAACAGATCAGGAAGGAGCCTCCCATCTTGCGGTGCAAAGAGTACGTTTCCTCTGGAGGCGGAGTGAGACGGTGTTTGAGCATCACTGGGATCAGGTTGTGAATTCTCTCTGTGGTGGACTGAGACCCGAAGTCAAAGGACTCTGTGGAGGCAAAGGCTTCGCCGAGGATCATTACTGCGTCCACGTGTGCGTTCTCCATCGCCTGGACGGAGGAAATGAAAATAAATCACTACATCCTAGACACCAAGTGTTGTCGTTCTTGTAAACAGAAAAAAGTATTAAATATAGAAATAAATATGTGTGTGTGTGTGTGTGAGACCTTGGACTCATATCCTGTCAAGAATTTCATCTCAATCGATTTCTTCAGAACTCCCTCACGGTCACCATCCACAGCTGAACGGATGATCTGAAACCACAAAAATCAAGAATGTCATTTTAGTTTTATTTGTTACGAATTTTCCATAAATAAATGGCATAGAAGACGTAGGGATTCAAGGGTTCTTATTTTTCCAGTTCATTATTTTTAACTATCATAAAAAAACATATAAATTAAAAGTAAAATATTATTAATCCTAATAACACAGCTTAGTTAAACCTAGATAATAATAATTACAGACAGACAGGAGCCACGTGTTCTGACCTCTATGTAGAGGTCGGTAAAACTCTGATCAAATCCTCTTGTCGCTCCAAAGTCCAACAGCGCCACCTAAGGAGACAACTCTCACAGTTACAGCAGCACTTCAATCATCAAGGCTAGCACAGTGGTAACGAAGAACAACAACCGCTCACCCTGTGAGTCTGTGGATCGTAGAAGAAGTTGGACCAGTTTGGATCTGTCTGCATGTACCTGAACTCAAAGACCTCCCTGATGCACAATGTCAGGATGTTCTTACAAATCTAGATAAAAAGTAAAAGTATATGTATACACTTAGAAAATCCTTTATTACATTATCCATCGTCCCTAAAGAAAAGAAAGAAGAAAAAAAAAAGTTGTACCTCATTTTTCAGCTCCTGTGTGAGGCCCTCAGTTTTGTCCAGAGGAAACCCAGGCACAAGTGCTGTAGTGAGGACATGTTTGTTGCTCAGCTCTTCTATCACCTCTGGTACGTAGAAGAACGGATGGTCCTTCAGCAGCTCCCTGGACACAAACAGTCGAGTTAAAGAGTTACTGAATGTATACTCGAGCTAAAACAATCACTAAAACACAACTTCTGAAACGCAGTGGACAATCAAATATGTGAAAAAACAAAAATCTAATCTGAATGTCAATATTTGATATAGATTACCTGAACTTTTTTGCACACTTTGCTTCTCTGATGTAATCACACTCCAGCGCCAGCTCTTTCCTCATCACGTGTATTAAATGCTCTGGAAACAAACCTTACGAAGGAAGAAGTGTGAGAAGAGTTATGGCCAGATTAAGGTTATTGTACGAAGGCTTTTGGTCGTCCGTACCTTCAGGCAAAGCATTGCTCATGCTCAGCACCGTCATCAGGTTGTTGACATCGCTGTTGATACTCTGAGCCACTCCAGGATACTGTTACGTGTGTACAGAAACAAAGATGACCAAACATCAAATCATATTTCAGTCGTGTTAAAACAAAACCAAGAAGAATTTCTCCTGCTTAACTGAACTGTTCACCTGTATTTTCATGGCTACTTCTTTGCCGTCCTTCATTCTGGCCAAGTGAACCTGACCGATGGACGCTGCAGCGAACGGACGCTCCTCAAAAAACTCCAGCTTGTCTTTCCAGTTAGGACCCAAGTCACTGTTCAACGCTTTCTGGAGTCAAAAACAAAAGTTTATTAAATGTCTAAAAATATAGTAGGAGGTTTTGTTTGAAGAAGCTAATGAGACAACTATTATGTGGGAGAAGAAGAAAAATAATAAAATGAAGAAGAGGAAAAGAAGAAGAAGAGGGAGGAGGAAAAGAGGGAAAAGCAGAAGGAGGAAGAGGAAGAATGAGCAAAAAGAGAAGAGGGGAAAAAGGGAAGGAGGTAATAACAGTAAAAATGATCTGGGGTCTGTAAGGAGAATAAAGTTCCTTACCGTCATTTGCTTGATGGGCATGAAGTCAGCGCTCTGTCTTACACGCTCGAAAATCTTAGCGAGTTGTGGGTTGATGAAGGCATCGTCTGAAACACAAACACACACCGTGGTGTGATTAACACTGGACAGAGACACCGATCTGTAACACATCCTGAACTGTAAATATTTAAAATGTGTCTTTTAATGACATGTTAACTCCAGTTGTACACAACTGTGCCACATGCGTTGGTTTGTAGTTAGATGATAATCATATACCTGTGTTGACTTTCTTGTCTTTTCAAACCTTTGTGCAGCCATGACTTTAATTCCCAGTGTCTTTCAATTTAAATGAGATTAAAGTTAAGGCTGATTAAATTCTAGGATTAGTTAGTGTCAAAACTTCAGCTTCAACTATTTGGCAGCCATACGGTTTGATTTTTCTGGCCTGCGATTAAAGGATTCGTGTCATAAAAATAATCATCGCTTTTAAAGTTCTGATCCCTCAAGGTTAGCACTATTTTGGACCGCACTAAAGGTTAGAATGAGTGGATTTGCAGTCATGTGGCCAGAAACGGCACCTCTGTTATGACATAAATGTCACCAGGGTGCAAAGACAAATGCAGTGACATCTAGTTTCCAGATGTTTCGCAGTCCGTTTATATTTAGAAGGTACAGCTTTGTAAATAACAGCAGTAGAGCCTTGACTGAACGTCGAACCGCTGGAGTATTTTCTACAGCAGTTTGACATCTAGTATAAGGTTTTTCATGTACTTTGTAATGTGTAATTACTTTGTTCATTTCATCATGTACACTGTACTGCCTGTCAAGTTTGACCTGGCCATGCTTCACAAGCCAAAGGACAGAGTTCACGGGCCAAGGTCAGGCAGGGAGGACAAACAACAGCCAAAAATAATGAAGTGTTTAGTACCGTTACCCAACACTGACTGTGAAGAAGCTGCTCCAGGAGGCCTACAGACACCGCTAACCTTTTGCTCTGTCGGTTTCTATCCTTTACATTGGAACACACACTTCAGATAACATACATGTCTGTGCCAAAGATAATACCACAGACTTTCTACAGCATAAATATTCATAAAAAAAACCTTCCAGAATTTCAGTGTGCTAACCATGGATTCAATGTATAGGGACAGTTTGAAAAGTGCAGATGGTGATGTGTGTCATCCACATTTGGTGAGACCAACATTTGTGTGGGTTTTTGTTGGACGGATCCCACCATAACGTTACATAAAAAATACATAATTTCATTTCAAATGTTATGTGTACAGGGTCCTTGCATTGTTTCACACATATATACAGTACATCTATATATAGACATACATATTTGTATATATTTGTCAAGTACCTTGAATGCTGAGCATCTGTCCAAGTTTTAGTGCCGCTCCTCTGACCTTGCACAGAGTCCTGACAATACGCTCAGCATTAGCCTCGGACAAAAACGGGCTGGAGTCCAGAACTGCCTTCTTATTTTCACCTGCAGTGACACAAACCAGACACAAGGGTGACTTTTAAATGCAGTATGAAATCAATATTTGTTTGTGTGTAAAACTCTAGGTGTGAATTGTTGTGCCCATGTGTGTCAGTAGGTCACTGGGGTAATGTTGTTAAATGCAACTGCTGCTGCGTTTTGACAGATTTAGGCCAGAAACATACTAAAAAGAGTGCCTTCAGTGAGCCTGCTGGATTAAGACGTGACAACAAAGTGACACACTAACACCATGAATGACGCGCTGCGTCAGATTAGCTGCGTTGGGAGATTAGCGGCATCACAGTTCAGACCAGCGAGGGAGAGAGCTGGTGGAACAACATATTTTCTGCACTCAGCTTCATTAAAAATGTCTGGAGCGTGTGCAGACAAGTATGGAGGCTCGGCACTGGGAGCAGAGTTCTGTACAAAAGAAGGGAAGTTGCAAAACCTCTATGATTGTACAATGTTCCACAGAGCGACACAGGAGAGGACGGTTTCTGAACGGTCTTACAACAGTTACAGGACATGACATCACCTTTGATCACCATCTCCAACCGTACCATAACAATTGTCAAGTTAAAAAGTATAAATCGCTGTTTACATTTGACTTATTTACCTGCCATACCACTGTGTCGAATTGTCTTCTTGGCAACTTCAGCCAGAGCGCCGATGCCCAACCCGACAGCGAGGCCTATAAGAGAAACAAATAGGAGACACATATAGATGTGGAAAAGAATATAAATATACGTCAATATAAATGTATACGTATACATACAAATAAGGACCTCTAAAAACATATTTATTTGTTTATATCAAAGCTCATGCAGGTTGGTGGATGGAATGGTATATTTAACAAAAGAAAGGAACGTTTTTGAAACTGTGTGTGTTTTAGTTTAGAACATTACATCATTGATATGACATAATCAGTCATCAACTTATGAACCAGCTGAACACACAGACACAGTGTGTTCAAAACAGATCGGTATGCTGTATGCTCAGGGTGATAAAATGTTCTGCTCCAACCACAAGTGTCTGTCCATCATTTCAACATCTTCAGTCTGTTAAGTTCACTTCAGTTTCACTTCAGATTTGTACAAAACAAACCTGAAAAGAGAGAGTTGCACTGCTTTGCCGTGATCATCAATAAAACCACTGAAGGGGAGGAAAAGCTTAGCAACAGCAAGAAGTGTGGGCTATACTCTCTGCTGTTGCTAGGACACGTGCAAATAGACTCGGTGTGTGCGGACATTAGTCTGTTTTCCTCTTTTCTGAACTGACGCTGCCTAAGTCTGAACTCTCAACTCTTGGCTTTGAACGCAAACATGACCAGGTGAAAATACACGCCGTCACCTTCCTCAATAAATAAAACGGGACAGTGAAGGACAGAGCGAGGCAACATTCCTCCACCCCCCTCTCCGTTTCAACACCTTCCTCATGTTACTGCTGTCAACATGCTGAATCAACTTTGCTCTGCCTTCTGCGTCTCACTGTAACTGGTGGAACATCTGATAAGCCAGGCCTTTACTGAGCAACAAGTAGAGCACACTTGTGTTTGCAGTGGAGCTGATGATTTATCAGAGATTCTGTTCAGGGTTTACTTTCAACCACAGTTTATATCCTCACTCTGTGCTAGTGAGTCGAGTCTCTCTAGGATTTTTTTTACTACCTGTTAACTGAGGCCTCGTCCATTTGGTATGAAGCTACAAACTACGAGTGTAAAAATATCTCTTCAGACCAAAGCCACATCTGAGGCTGAGCTTTTTACTGTATGATCATTTTGGACAGTTACTGTTACTACTAAAAGTAAACTCCAATACGTACAGTCAAGGTTTGTCATATGGACTGCTGTAAAACAACAACTGTGTTGATTACCTGGTTTGGTATTTTTAATTATCAGGCAACATGTTCAGATATACTGTATGACAGTAGATTTCAAACCAAGCTGTCCTTTTTAGTCCATACTTACCCACACTGACCCTATGAGATCAGTCATTAACACTATCTGCCTTTGACCCCATTTCCCTGTTTATCTGGAGCTCCAGGGTGTGACACTCAACATTCATTCTCATACGTGTGTGTGTGTGTGTATTTAAGGATATATTCTTCAGACATCGTATCAGCGTATCCTTCGAGAAGGTCTTTGGAATGACAGTGACACCAACAGGGTGACACCAACCACCCACAATCAGATTATGAGCAGATTGTGGGTGGTCACAGTCAGACACTGGATTACAAGGATAATAGGTTTCCAGACAGGAACCCATTATTGTCTAAGTAGTAGTATAAGTTGGTTCAAGACATAAAAATAAAAAAAATAAAGCAGGACCAAAAGATCGTTTCAAATTTTTTTGTTTGAAATTCACTGGGGAGTTCAGCAATTTTTCACTGAATTATATAAATCCTTACAGACACCAGAGAAAAACATATTTTTACCTCCAAAGTTGGCCAGTCTGCTGATCCGGGTCACGGGCACTTTCCTCTCTCTGGCTCTTTCACTCAACTGGGAACAAGACAACAACAAAAGAGATGATTCTATTTCATAGTAGTAATTTAGAAAAGTAAATGTAGTAAATATACGTTTTCTTTCATTAAATAAGAATCCATATATAATTTAAAATATAAGACTTGAATTTGTCAAACTTTAATATACATGTCTGTACATTAGTGTTCAGAAATATTTATCACCATCTGTTTGTGTGGTTTGCTGTCAGCCGTTTTCCTCTGTCGTGCTTTCTCAATGTCCTCGGCCGTCAGACCTCCAACAGTGGACGGGTCCTGATGATAGCTCCTGGTCTGTGTGCCAGGTCGTTGGCAGTCGGCTGTGGGTTGGCCCCACACCCGACTTATCAGACTGTGGTTGTGGAGCTGATGGTGACCGAAAGTGTGTCTGCGACAAGCAAAACAAAATGGATTAATAATGTGCATTTCTACTCTGATACACCAGTAAAGAATCATCTGTACCTGGCATCCAGGTGAAAAGATCTGGAGTCTCCGCCAAACTGCTTGCTCGGATCTTTGTATCCTTGGAACACAGACTGTTTTCCATTTACGTGACCTGTTCCTGCTGCCACACTGTGATCTCCATACATCTCCATATTTTCTAAATGACCATCTTTAAAGTCCACACCTTCTTCCCTAAACTCTGAAGTTGAGAACGCATTGTCGTCCTGGGGGAAGTCAAATTCTGACTCTGAGGAGGACGTTTGCTGCTGACCAGACATTTCCTGTAAAAACAGAAATACACAAATGAAAAAAAAGTGTTTCATCATGTTGCTTCAAACAGCCCGTGTCGTTTTCAGTAATAATTTCACAGTATCTCCACAGACCTGCATCTTCGTGAAGGCCACAGAGATGCCTTGCTCTGCAGCCGTCTGAAACGCAGCACCAATGCCTGCAACTCCTGGTTTGAAAATACAACAGATCGAGTAAAACCACAAAGCTCTTCAGTTTTTTTTAAATCATGAAAACAAAATTACGTGTATGCACAAAACGTACAATCATAAAGGTTAGGCTAAACCTGATAGGACAAATTATGTCAGACACTGATAGAGAATGAAACCCTGCACCCTGGTGGACACTGCTAAGACTCTTTAAATTAAATAGCAATAATTCATCACAACTTAATCAACACATAAGCAAAAACAGATTTCACAAGAAAAACATGTGTTAATTATTTCAGCTCATACTGTGATGACCAGGAGTTGTTTACAGTCAAAAACACATTTTGATGATCAAACTAACACAAACAATATTTTAGTAAATTGGTTGTTTTTATCATATTTACCTGTGCCACTGCGCATAGCGTTTGCCTGAGTCTCCACAACTGCCTGGCTCAACTTGGTCAGGCCTCGCATTAGTAACATCATATCACCTGCCATGATGGTCTGCAGACAGAGCGAGAAGAGAATGTTATCACAAGTCCAGTGTTTGAATGTCCAGTCAGTGACAAAGAAACGCAGGCGGAGCTGCTCATCAGAAACAGACACTCAAAACAATCATCCCAGCTGTCACATCTTAAGATAACTTTAATACCTGGGATAGAATTACTGCTGACCTTATTTTGTCTGTGTTCACGCACATCGACACAAGTAAAGGCGAGTGAGGGGTCTGGGGGGGGAGGGGGTGCATGCACATTGATAAAAGGTACAGTGCACTCAGAATTGGAACCGAAAATATCACTGAAAACTGGGGAGTTGACGAGCAGTTGGCCCCTGTCTGTTCCAGCTATTTTTGAGCACGTGTTTGGTTCAGGCACAAGGTCAGCTGACACACAGAACCTCTCGCCATTACACTCTATAAGTGACTGTGCTAGCTGTAAGACGGTTTTCTATTAATGTCCTATTAATATTGTTCCATCTATTTCCAGTGATTACAACGCTGGTCATTTTCTACATGCATTTATAACAACATCCTACAGGTGGCACGATAACAGTAGAGCTTTAAACTATGTAATTACCTCAACATAGGCCCACTAACCTTTTAGTTACATAACAGATTGGGTCACGTTTTTCTATTTACATTTGTGTGTGACTGCAGGTACTGATGGTGCAAGAAAACACACATCCTGGTCCTGGAATCAGGTCAGAGGGGAAATAGCATTGCTGTAAGAGTTAAAGTAACAAGGGAGTGTCTGTGTACAGTGTACTGGTCCATGCATGCATACAAACATAAACATGCAGAAAGAGACACCAAGTGGGTCATCTGCATGTCCTGAGATTGCTCAGTTTTTCAAAAAAAAGAAAGAAAAGAGAAGTGGGCAAAAACCAAAGACAAACATCTCATTGTCATCAACTTGGAAATTTCTCCTGTCAGTGTGGACGTGAGGCTTTCCCTGGTGCCAAGCCGCCTCTGTATCAGTCAGAAGAGCTCCACCAACAGAAACAGTCCAGACCATCATCCGCTATTATTACAGCTACCATTTTGTGGAGAATTACCAGCTAGCCATAGACACACACATACATCTACACTTAAGCCTCAGCTGTTGTCTTTTGGCTGCGTCTCTACACACACGCTGTTGACTCACTGCTTTGGGAATAGCCAGAGTATGGACTGCTGTTTGAATCAGCTCATGGTTTACTGGGTAATCGCTGTCATCCTCTGTCCTTGACTGGTGATCCAGCAGCAAAAACCAGAAAATAATCCCTGTAGCTGAGCAGTGGTGAATCACTGGGGCCACAGTGTCATCAACACCATTAGAGAAACGTGACTGAAATCATGTTTTCAGCTCCACTCACGTCAGCTCTGAACCTGAGAGCTACAATACTGCAATAAGCATGTGGTATAAAGATGTAGTATTATCAATACTAAAATCAATTATAAAAAAAAGACTTTTCTGATAGGTACCTACATGTACATAAGTGAACTAAAGTAAACCTTTTACATTTTTACATTTACTTTTATATTATTTAATAGTGAACCCTAAAAATCACCATCAAATGTGCATAATATTTTAGTCTTTATTGTCTCTTTGTAAATATTGACATCTTTAATAACCTTATCAATTTGGCAATATGTCAATATTCATACCAAGGTCTTGCAGTTTATGTCTGATACACACTGATAACCTCAAACACACTGTTCTTGCCCTGTTCTACTTTCTTGTCACTTATTGACTGTTATTTTCTAGATAAGGTTGTGTTTGACAACGGAGTTATTTAGGACAAAACACATTCTTGCACCACACCTTTTACACTATTTTCGTATGAAAAGAAAAACAAGGTGATAATGATAAGAAAATAATAATATTGTTATTATTGTAAAGGTCATTAATGAATTTGATGGATTTTTTTAAAGAAGAAAATAGCCCGAGACACCTTATTTTTGCTCTATTAATCCCATAAGGGTTTACTGGCTGAACACACCATGGCTGGGATTCAATCCAGCAACTTTCCATTCACAAGTCCAATCCTTTAACTCGGCGCCTATATGCGTGGAAGTGAAAGGTCTAATTGTTAAAAATTAGATATTATTGATTGCTCTAATATCTGAAAATCAAAGCTAACGGCTCGATTCAAATCATTTTCTTCCCCGTGGGCGAAGAAAAAAAAACAAGAACATGCCACGCTGCTATACTGACATTACCGAAGTCGCCATTGCAGCTGCTTCAAACCAATGACACTGACAAGGTTATTGAAATAATAATAAATAAATAAATTAACATCAGCTAAGCTGTCGATGCTACAAATGAAGCAAAAATGTGGATGGAGTTTGCAGAAGTGACAGAGAGGAAGCACAGACGCTGCAAAGGACTTGACTTCTTCGGACAAGATGTGCTCGTGTTTGTGGCTAAAGGCTAAACAACAACAAAAAAAGACCGTTTCCTACACAATCTGCATAATTAAGAATATAAAAGCAAAGTCTTAGACTCACCTGCAGCTGCGGAGCAGCGTCCCTGCTGCTATGAACTGCGTGCACGGACGAGGTGAATAATACTGGCCGAGTCAAAGCTACCAAACTTTATTTAGAGGTTTAGCTGCACGTTTACTTCGAGGTTCCGCCTCCTCCTCCTGCAGCTGCAGCACGGTGTTCGGTAACAAGTGAATGTGTTTACGTGTCGTTTCCCTGCCGTTTCTGCTGCTGTTTCTGCAGCACGCCGTGCGTATAATCTGCTTGATCTGCGTCTTTCTCTCCGCGGCGAGGTCAAGGTGTATTTACCAACTTCATAACACACAGACCAATGTTGACACAACACGCTCCCACTGCTGCTTCTTCTTACTGCAGTGGGGGTTTAACTAAAACTGTGCTGCTGCATTACTGCCATCTTCTGTCGCCCGTCGCCACTTACAACAACAGCGTCCACAACAGTTTCATAACAACTAAACATGAAATTAAACATATTATGAATAAAACCAAATTCCGGATAGGACGTTACTATTTAGCTGTATTTTGTGACCATTTTGGAGCATCGGCAGGCAAGGAGTTCTCTTAACCAAAGCATACAATATTATGCATTTATATAGTAAAACTCCATATCTGTGAAATTTCATTTAAACGGACTCTAAATATTTTTATATTTTCCAAAGGAAAAGAAGCGCTTCAGCGCTTCAGCGTTTGTTGTGGTCGGCCCCTGCTGTTATTTCGCTCTTCTTTGTCTAACTCTCTTTCTTGTTTCGTTTTTTTTTCTCCTCTCTATTTTCCAATGGGTTTTAAGCAACTCCATTTCTGAAAATGCAGATTTAAATCATTTTTGTAAAGCATATATTAAAAAAAAATGTTTCCCTGGGGATCATTCTCAAATGCAAATTTTTGCTCACCATTCCGCTGCTGCTATTGGCTCGTTTTGTACTTTGACAGGAGGTGAGGTCAGAAGACGCCATCTGATTGGTGTGTTACAAACGAAAACAACACACACGCGTGCGTTGCATAACAGCTTGTCAGGCTACAATGCTGCTGCAATAAGAGTCACTTCAACAAGGACAAGTGACAAAGAAGATGTGGCAATAACTGGTATAAAAAGAACAGATGATAGAAACACACTGACGTCGTAGAATGCCCTCCTGGACCCTGGAGATTTAGAGAGCATTAGGTGCAGTTTTTATGGTAGCATGTTAGCACATCAAACATATTTAGCGGTGCCTTGTGCTCTTGGCTTTAAGGTCTTTTATCACAATATTATCAAATTAATATTAATCGTAATATCATTGTAACTGTCTTATTACAGCCATTAAGTTGATATCTCCTTTACAGAAGTTCATTTTTGTATATCTTTATGTTTAAAAACGTTTAAGCAAATAGGGTTTGTACTTTTTAGATTTTTTTCTTGTAAATAAGTATTCATTTTTATATTATACAACAATAAAATAAATGGTTCAACTCACAACACTCCTCTGTACGATTTAACTGCCTACATTACGGCCTCTGAAAGACAGCCCTGGATGCTGCTGCTGTGGGCAGGTGTGATTTGAATGTCAAATGATTGCCATGCAAACAAAGCAATTAATAAAACCTTTTAGCAGTGGACAGGTGTCAACAGGGGCAGTGAAGAGCCAGAGATGGGGCCACCTTAGCACCACACCTTTAGCATGTTGTTGTAGTATTTAGAGTTCACAGATGGATCAGTCTACCAAGAGGAAAAGAGAAAAACAGCAAAGAAAATTGATGAAAGTAGTCAAAGCAGGAGACTGGCTGAAGAATGAAGCAGATGATCATGTAGAGAACAGGATATCTGACTAACCTGACTGATGATCGGGACTGTGGCAGTGTTTTGGGCTTGTTTAAGCCTGTCGAGATGAATAATAACTGTAGGTGTGGCTGAGCTCAGTGTAAACATTACACAAAATTCCAGTCGTTTTTTTTTTTCAATTCTCAATGCTTTATTCAATGTCAGGTGAACAACGTTGCAATAGTTATCTCTAACTGTTAGTTGTTGACAATGCCTTTGCTGTTGGTCTGGAAATGTTTAATATGTCAGGATTCATGAGTTTATGTGATGGCACCTGCGTTTGCTAAACTTTGCACTGCTGTTTGTCCACTTCCAAAACCGAGTACTGTTTATATGTAATTCTGACAGGGCAGAATTACATATAACACACATTTCATATAACACACATTTCTGTCTGACACGGTCAATTATATAGAGAGAGTATATCTCAAATTCGAATATCAATTTATTAAAGTCCATGTCCATAACAAGGTTGTGTAAAAATATCATGCTCTAATCATGTAACCAAAATTGACTTGGACTGTGACATGGGATCACAAAAAATGGACACCCTAACCTCTTTAAAAAAAAAATCATATATATATAATTATAATTGTATATGTTTTTTTTTTCATTTTAAAATGTATATTAGAGCAGAAAACAGTGCAAACAGCAGACTAAACAGTGGATTTAAAGAAATGTTACATTCCTTATAAACAGACAGAATCCTGCTCCCAAATACACTCTTTTAAAGGGCAGCCCAAATAAGACTAAGACGAAAAAACAAACTGATCCATAACCACTGATAAAGAGCTTATGGAAACAAGTGCACATAGGGAGGTTTTGGGTAATGATTAGATTTTTTTTTATTTAAACAATTCTTTGGATAAATGCTTCATATCATCTTTGTGGGATTCTTTCTTAACCAAACAAATCAAATCCTAATAAGAGTAAGACCTT